GGATTTTGCATGAAGTAAATTACATTTTTAAATAAGACTGGTAGCATTTGAAATGTAATACCCATTGATGGAGTTATTTCTTGAAATTCTTGCCAAGCATGCCAAGCAAGTTTTTAAAAAGCTAATATTAATAGTTATATGTAATCTTTTTTTTTTGAGATGGGGGTCTTACTATGTTGCTCAGGCTGGTCTTGGACTTGTGGCTCAAATGATCCTCCTGCCTCAGCCTCCTGAGTATCTGGGACTACAGGCCCCGTCATCACACCTAGCTTACTAGTATTACTTACAACGTCTCACTATTTGTAATTACCTAAGCAAATGAAAATATAGTAATACAATGTATCATGTGAAGATTGTAACCATGTGAAAAAAGTATGCAAAAAGATTAGAAAACATGAAAGTCAAAATAATCTATTCACTTTAATCATCATGACAGAAAATTAATGTGTTTATATCAACATATAAACACATTTAGAAATGACCATGCAGAAAAGTTTAAATTAATATTTAATTTCAAATAGTAATTTTTGTAGTTATATTTAAATACCACTCTCCAAGAGATAGGCTTATAAGCATTTAGTATTTCTTCTATATTCATTAGTATACCTACTTAATTTTTGCTGTTGTTATTTGTTTTGGTGAGCATGTATGAATTTTATGACCAGAAAAATAGGCTATAAAACAAGGACTCCCACATATTTACTAATAATTTAAAATAAGCTATGTAAAGGACTAAGCTATTATCCTTCATTAAATTCACTTAGGTACAAACTGCTTGATTTGTCAAAAATTATCACTAAAATGTTTATATTACTTGAAACTTGGGCGAGATGGGGTGAGGCTGGGGCTTAGAAAGTTAAGTGAGATGCTGTGTGTGATACACAGGGCAGGGATAATCATACTAGCTACTTAGAAATGGTAAATTAGCAGACATGTGTTAAGAATCTGAGCCAGGTGTAGCAGCAGCCTCTTCTAAATTCCAACTATTCAAGAGGCTCAGGGAGGAGGAGTATAAGCTCAAGTCCAACTGTGGCAACTAAGCAAGACTGTGTCTCAAAAATAAAAAATAAAAACAGGCTGGGGAATACCTTAGTGGTAGAGCACCCTTGGGTTTAATTCCCAGCACTATTAAAACAACAACAAAAAAATCTTCCATGTGTTAAAGAAGTGCTGGATCATAGTTCCCTTTACCACAACTTTGAGCTACCTCTGTGAATTCCTTACTCTTTATTAATATCAAGCTGTCCTTGAAGCGTCAGAGATGAAGAAAACAAAAACATTAAGATAGTTGAGAAGCCTTAAACAAGAATGTAAAAGAGATCAGAGCTATTCGCTATCTCCTTAATAGCAAAGGTGATGCCACTGGATTGATAGATAGTTTCCTGTTTTTTTGGACCAATCTCGCTAAACCCAGCAGTAGTCTAGAGTAATTCCTAATCAGCTGCACTTTCTTGCTGAAATCCCAAATAACCATTCAACATCCATTTGTAAGAGGACACAGGATAGTTTAGAAAATTCCATGACATTAAAGTTGAGCTTTCATAAGAACACACTCTTCTAATTCATTTTATCTGCTAAGGATCACGTCCTCTGAAACCTTCTTCATTTTTAGCATAATCACACCTACAGCAACAACAAATTCTCTTTTGTACCCATGGGGGAACAATTAAAAATATCCTTGTACTTTATCCAATGTGTCTTATTGTTTCACTATTCCTTTCACATTAGCAGGAAATCATTTTCTTTGGCTATCTGGGTGCCGTTGTACAATCAAATGTCACACAATGTTCCAATCAATGATAGACCTCATAGAATCGTGGCTCCACAGAATTATAGTGTCTAGTGATATCACAGTCATCTAAGTTGGTGTAAGTACACTCTATGATGTTTGCATAGCTATGAAATTACCTAAGGACATATTTCTCAGAATGACTCCCTACTCCTAAATGCCCCATGGCCATACATTGAAATTACTCACCCTGTTGAATTGGATTTTGGGTTTCACTGTGTTGTTATTCTTGTTTTTCTACACTCTCAATAAATTCATTCTTAATTATTAGTCATATAGAATAGAATGAGAATAACACTTGACCTATTCAAAGTTTAGTCCAAGACACCACTTCTGTATTTGCAGTCAATTATCTACTAATAAATCCATATGTTTAAGTACAACATTTCAATATGACAATAATTGGAATCTCATATAGATCCTTGCCTCATAGTTGTAAATCTGATTTTCATTTTTCCCTTGATATAGAAATTTTAAGATGTAAACAAGCTGTGATCATTTTACTTCACACAAGTAAATCCCAAGGCAAATGCTTACGCCCCACTTATCTATCATACTAAAAGCAGACCCCTTTGGGGACTTACCTAAGTAAATATAGATGAAAAAGGAAGTACTTCCATTAGAATATGACTAAATTAAGCAAGGAATAGCATGATGTGAAACATTTCACTTCCCTGCATATCTGACACATTCTGAAGTTAATAGATAACAGCAGATTGTCACTGTTTAGGCCTCATATTCTTTCTGCTAATTAAGAATCATCGATTATTTAAGGACTCCAACTTCCCTTACTATGCATTAGTGGATGGATGTGCCAAACATGTTAAAATTTTTTCACTCATGAAAAAAAACCAACAATAAATAACTGAAGAAGTAGGGATCTTTTGAAGTTACACTAAATAAAATCAGTGATACCTCCAAATTTATATATCCAAGATGCTATGCAGTTGATAAATTTTTAGTTACATTCGGAAGTATAATTCACTTGGAGAAATGTTAAGAACTGTAAACTGCTATAAAGAATAAAATTTGCAACATGACACAGTGATGCTAAGTTAATTGTTTCTAAGAAAACAGTGTTTTATATAAACTGCATTTAATCTATGAGAATGACAAAATGCATACTTATATAAGAAGTATAGTCAAAACCCAAACATTTTAGTCAGAGTTTGATGAATCTGAACATTTAAAAAAAAAAAAGGTCCAAATTTGAAAATTCTGGCAGACGTTATCATTTAAAGAAAAATACATTGTTTTTATATATCATGCAATTTTTCAACCTTAATATACTTATATTTTATAATAATAATCATGTATAATATATTGCATACTCTAATTTTGAAGACTTTTTAAAATAAATTATCTTGCTGATTGTCATTTAATTCGGAAATATAAGTATATGCAGGTTTTACCATAAAAGAGAGGTAGTTACTACTGAGGATTTAAACAGGTGATAACAAAACCCTATGTTGATAAAAAGGGAGATATTTTTAAATCACTCAAAAATCAGAGATTTATGGGAATTCCTTTAGATACTTAAATTTAATGCAGAATACAAAACTAAAAAAAGAGATTGAAAATTAACTTTCCAATTCTACCCATGAAAAAAAAATCCCTTGACACTGTTCACTAACATCTTGTGCACTACCATGAAACCCCAGGTCAGCTCACATCTCTGCCTGGGATGCTGCAGCAGCCTCCTTCAAACAGGCTCAGCACAGCCAGTGTTGCTCCACCCTGATTCACATACAACCAGAGTGATCCCTGGACAAGGCAAGTCCTGCCTCCTGGAAACTCTTTAATGGTTCCCATTTCCCTTAGAATGAATGACAAAAGACTAAAAATTCATGATGCCATCTTCAGCCTAATCTTTCAATTGAACACTACATTTCCTTCCTCCAGAAATAAGCCTCAGTTACATGAACGTAAGTCTCTCACACTTCTGTGCTTTGGTCTGTATTTCTTTTCCGCTCTGCAGTGCTCTTTCACACATCTCTCTGTCTTGCAACCTGTTACTCGTCATTTGGGTATCAGTTTAAACATTCTGCGAGGCAACTTCCTTATTCCTTTTACATTAGGTGAGATGCCTCTGCAATGACTTTCTACACTGAAATTTATACTACTGTAACATGATCTCTTTTTTTCATTAAGTCTTTCCATATTTGACTACAACTACATGAGAAACAATTGCAATTGTGTTTGCCTTGTATATTCCAGGTGCCCACCCAGGTGGGCAGGAGGGGATAGGAAGTACCCAGTTAACTCTTCTTGTTGATATGAAAATATCAGTTAATCTTTCAAAATGAACATTTCAATTTAAACTACCCTCTACTGACAATCATTCCAGACTAAAATATGATTTCCTTAATTTATCAATTTCATGTATTTATTAATTTACCAAGAAATAAGGTTAAAGACATATATTTAAAATAAGAATATTTAAAGATGAATGTTTAGAATATTCTGGATAGAGAAAAGCAACAATATTATAAAATTCATTTGAGAAAGACATTTGAGAAATAGTTATATAATGAAAATAATTGTTTGAAAATAAAAATGATAAGAATTTTAAAATGATGACTTAAGAATTTAAAAGAATTTAAATTGGTTCTTTCAACACAGGATAGTAGAGAGTAGAAGAGAATATAATGCTTTAAAAACAAAGTAGCATGGAAAAAAAAAAAACAAAATAAAACAGTATGAAGTATCACCACCTAGGCTCTTTTCTGAACCCCCTCAACCCCTCAAAAACTGTTTCTTTTTCACTAATAGAATAGTACACTCCTTTGTGGTTGAGTTTTGAGCAGCTATCTAAGCTGGAGATAGCAGGGATATAGGGTTAAAGGTATAGGCCCTGAATCGATTTTCTGCTTATCCAACCTCTGTCCTTTTCCTTCTGCACTTTACAATACAGGAAAGAGAAAGAGAAAGGGAGCAGAATGAGACAGGTGAATCACCAGGAAGCATTACCAAATATTTTCAAAGATTTCAAATCCTTCCAATGTAAGAAACCAAGGGAAAAAATACACAAAACAAAATGGTAACTAACAACTCCACTGGAACTGAGTTGCCAAAGGAGTTTTTCAATGGGACAACCGGTTCTTAAAATTGATTCTTTCAACATAGGATAGTAGTGAGTGAAAGAGAATATAACGCTTTAAAAACAAAGCAGCATGGAAAAAAAAAAGCAGTATGAAGTAGCACCACTTACCTGTTCATAATAGTGGATATTCTCCTCAGCCATATCTGTAAATGCTGACTTGATATCATTTTGCATATTTAGTTTCCATCTTTCCCAATCTGCTTTCAGGGCATTATTAGCACATTCTACTTTATCTTCAAGTTTTCCAATCTCTTCTGTAAGCTGAAGTAAGCCACAAAGAGAGAGAAATTGATCTATGTAGTCTTGCTATGAGGTGAATTCATCGAATTTAAGTAGAACATGATATCAAAACAGCTTGAGAATAACATTTTAAAAAGCTACCAGTATTTATCACATGTACTAGTTAAAGTAAAAAGAACATTGAATTTGGTCAGGGCCATTGAACAGAGTTCTAAGGTCTGCCACCAAGTAGCACTTAACCTTGGTAAATCTTTCAACCCTGGGCTTCAGTTTCACTATTCACGAAAAGAAGGAAATTGAACAACAATTATCTCAAAATTCTTTTATACTAACACTCTCATTAGGGTGACAATAATTATTATTATTGTGACAATAATTATTTGTTAAAAGATGTAGTTTCATTCATTTATCTTCCCAGTCTTCAATTGCTTTTAAGAAAGCTCAATTAACTGACATGTTATAGCATTCACATAGATTATGTTGTCCAGTCTGAAGGCCCAGGGATTAACTTGAACAGTTTTACTCAGATAACTGGAAACAGAGACAGGTTTATATCTCAAGATGCTAGACCCCAAATCTAAGGTCCATTAGGAACGTTTAGGGTGGTATTACACCCCTCCCTATCTTACCCACCAAACTAAGCATGCAGTCCACTGACTTATTCTTTATATGTGGCAGACTAATATATTTTACACTTATATATTTTCTTCATATTGTTTATATATATGTGTGTGTGTGTGTGCGTGTGTGTGTATCGTGTGTGTGCGTGTGTGTGTATCGTGTGTGTGTGTGTGTGTGTGAATGTGACTGTGTATATATGTATAGCTTCCTGACTGAACCAAGCATTCATCTAGGACCTGGAAAATGGAAAATGTCTGAAGATAATAGACAAAAATTCCTGCTTTAGTAGAGCTTATACTTTGCTGGGGAGAGAGAATCTATAAGCAATATAAAATATTAACTATCAGCCAGTAATAAAAGCTAAAGAGATAAATGAAACAAAAAAAGTTGATAGAAAATGTTATAATGCTCAAACTTCAGATAAGGTGACCAAAGAAAACCAAAATAAGAAATCATCATTTGAATAAATTTCTAAGGAGACATGTGAGTGAACCATGGCATTCTAAATGGGAAAAAGATCCTGGCAGAGGAATCAAGAAGGCAGTTGACCTCAAGTGGAAGCATGACTGGCTCTTCTAGAACAAGGTGACCAGCACAGCTTCAGCACAGTTAGAAGGAACAGGGGAGACTCAAGATGGGTCAGACAGGTGGTGGGTGATTGGATCACAATGAGCCATGTAGTCTGTGGGACAGCTCTGGGTTTTACTGCATGAGATCCAAAGCCATGAAGATTTAAGAAGAAATGACTTCTTCCCTCCTAAGTTTTAAATGGGATATTATGCATCACCACCATTTCATAACTGTGTATATTTGTAATAGGTCCCTGAGTAAGAAGAATTTCTATTTCAAACATGTTACAATGTGAAAATATCTTAGAATCAATAAAATGTGTTGTTTCTGAGATATATATATAGTATGGGAAATCTATTTCAATGGTAACATTGAGTTTCATTGGGGGGGAGTATGTGTGTGTGTGAGAGAGTTTTAAATTTCTTGTTCTGTTGTTTTGGAGGGAGAACCATATCAATGAGGCCATTTAGTACTTCATGGGTATGTGTATTCTTTGGGGCAATGATTTTGCTAACTCTTAGAGAACCTGTCTAACGGGATATTAATTGAATAACTAATAATGACAGGCTGTAGGTGCTAAGGGATAAGCTAAAAGTAAAATTGTTAAAGGTCAAACTCATTTAACATCTATGTCCAATAGACAAAGCTTCAGGGCTGTTAGAAGCCTCACTTCTCTGAGTTGTTAGATGGGGTTTTATCATCCAAATATTAAGTAGTAACTCAATGTTTCTCCTCCTCCACCTAGGGTCAAAAAGCACACATAGCAGTTGTAACCACACTGTTATTCTCTAGTTAGGCTTTGTGGTCTAAAGTTGCAATCTATTGGAATGAGATTGCTGAAAGAGGTGGCCCCCCAGGAATTGGCTTTAGGAAACACAGCATCAGAATCATATATTTTCTCTTCCTCCCTTTCCTATTGAAGCTTATAATGGGGTTACTGTAATAACAGATTTATAGCAAAGGGTTTTCCCTTGTCAATCTGTAAATCCCCTTCATTGAAGACTCCAGGTCAGGTTGGTGAATGGTTTCTTCACTCCCTAGAGAAAAGGTTTTGTAAGACTCACTCTCACCTCCAGAGAGGACTGAGATGAAGAGGACTGGCTATGGGTTAGGTCAACATCAGCTTAAGTCCTGCTTCTTTCATAAGCTATGTGACATTGGATAAGACTCCCTGTCGAAGCAGTAGTTTATTCGTCTAGAAAATATAAAAATGATAATACTCGCTTCATAGGGATTTTTAAGAAAACTGCACAAAATGTAAAAAAAAAAAAAACACTGTTTCACATCCTGCCTGAAAATTTGCCTACTATATGCTCTCTATGCCCGTCACCATTATCGTCATCAGTATTAGCTGGCAAAACTGACACTGATCCTCTCTCTTTTGGTATTTTGGTCTCCGGCAACATGTCATTCTCCTGCCAGACCTGGGTCTAACTTGATTTCCATTGCTATTTCTTTCTTTATTATTTCAACTGGGAAGGGAGAAACAAGACAGGAATTTCCTCACACTGAATAATCTTCCATAATTTCAAATTGGAAAAACACTAATTGATAATGACCATGATCATGTTATTCAAAGAATGATCTGGACAACATCTTGCCTAACAATTTATAAATGCATAATATAATTAGATGTCTTTCTCTTCGATTTACTTCAATTTTAGCCATTTCTTTGATGCACGGATTATGTATTCTGACTCCACTACCTGTCCAGGTTCTGAAAGAGCACACCAAAAGTTAACCAAAGTGGGAGAATAAGATGTATTAAGATACCTTCCAGGACAAAGGAGCCCCTCTCTTGCTCCAGTGCCTCCTCCAACACCACAAAGCAGGGTTCAATAGTTCTAACCATGGGAAATCCAATTCATAGATTCTACTGAAAAATTGCATGGGGAAAGTTGGGATAAGGAGGATTTAAAGTTTGCATAATTCTTTTCACAGATGCTGGCAGCAATTGGGCCCTCTGTTGGAAAAACTGAAGAAGCAAGCAATGCTTTTTGCCCACAAAATGTCGCAATACCAGAATTAAGTAACAATAAAAGATTGTAAGATAATAAAAAAGGGTTTATGTTTAACAACAAGGCTAATGGGTAATTTCTAGCTACAGTCACTCAATTAAATGAAAGTCATTAATACTAAGAAATCAAACAAAACAATATCATTCTCCAATATTCCATATCAATAGAAGGGGAATAGAAGTAATAAGAATAATTTATTGCATTTCTGCCACGGGTCATTGTTTTAAGCTATATATTTATATTATTTCATCTAATTTGCATAAGCATGTTGTAAATTGGATATTATCATCTTCCTATTATAAGCCGGGAAACTGGGAGAAAGAACTAATGGAGATTACAGTTGTTTGTGGCATTTCAGCAATTCAAATCAAGGTCTGCCAAATATATGTTCCATCTATAACCATTGGATCGGACCAGGAACAGAGCTGGCTTGCCTGTGATTTTCAAGGTTGAACTAATTCAGCTCCTATCTCAATGAGTTTGTAATCTATTAAAATAAAGACATGCAAAAGTAAAGCAAAAACCAAAAGCTATAATAAAAAGTAAATATTCATGCAGGAAAAAATAAAGATACAGAATGGAAAATTAATTCTAAATTCTGATTATGGAATATTTTGACTGTTAATTCACATGGCAGTGACTGGGACAAAGAAATACCTGGGTACAAGGATGGTATGAACACAACCAGAGAGGTGATATGCTATAGTATGGGATAAAAGAGCAGAGAGAGCTTAGTTTAAAGTCTGGAGTGGGCAAGGAAAAACCTGAGAAATCCAAGTGGAAAGGTAGATTGAAGATTGACCACTAGAGGGTGGAAATGATATGGAGCATGAAATGGATTCTGCAGGAAATGTAAGCCACTGAGGGTTTTGACCAAGACAGAATCAGATAGATTCCTTAGACAGAGGTGTGTAGGGTGGTTAAAGGAGAGGGGAAGTGTGGAAGGAAGGAAACCTTTTAGATTAAATTGGCACCAAGAAGATAACCAGGAACACCAATCAGGATCTGATTTGTTCCCACTCACTCAACTCACCCTGCAGCATTTGCTCAGCATCCATCTAAGGGGCTCTGTTAAAAACTAAAATAGAGGGTGAAGAAATGGATTTTGCCCTTATGAACTCCTGCAGACATGGAGAAATATAAATGCAACAGGATAAAGAACATGCAAGGTATTTCATGCAAATCAAAGGACAGGTGTAAATGCACAGAGGCATGTTTACTTTTGAGTTTCCAAAGAGTTGCAGGTGGCTCATTAGGATTGGTAGTACTCAGAGAATGAAAAGGGGGAACAGTGAACGATGAAGACAGACAGGCAGGTGATTGTCAGGTCCTAGAGGAGTTTTTCCTGCAGTCATTTGGATTTAGAAGATGATAAATGGAGCCCTGAAGGAGTTTAAGAAAAGGGACTGGGGGCAGTAACAACAATCAGATTCCTGATACCAGATGAGATAAAATGCTGGGAGGCAGAATTAGGAGAGTCTGGTGCCTGGCTAGCTGTGGGTACCGGGAGAAAGGACTGTGTTGCTGATAAGGTGAACTGGAGAACAGGTGGGGTAGGAGTTGAAAGCCTGAAGACAACAGCAGTAAAACAAGCACTTCTTGTCCCAAATTGTCCTGTCTTGCCTGCTGAGACTCGGTGTTATACAAACATTAAAACCCATTCAGTTACATATGACATCAAACTTCAATTCTGGGATACCTGCAGGAGCCAGGGTCACATTTATACTTTGAAACTTCCAAAATGATTTTGCTATACTGATTTAGGTGCTTTGGACAAGTTGGAAGTGAGACAGATCTACCAATTGACATACC